GTTTACTGCGGCTACGGTGATTCCATCACCGGCTGGGCTTGGAGTCTGGAGGAGGCCTTCCAAAGGGGGCAGGAAGAGAAGGAGGGAGCAGGCAGAATCCCAGAGCCTTCGTGGTGGAATCTGGCCAATGATCCTCTTTAACGGAGGCTCACGGGTTGCCTCTGTGGAGCGTGGCTGTTCCTGAGCCGACTCACACTAGCTCGATCATGAAAACATCTGTTGCAATCTCCAGTTAGTGCCTCTGCCCACAGATGGCCTTTGAAAAGTGCTTTTGGTGCATTCTGCCTCTGAGACATAGACCCCCACCCTCCCGCCTCCCTAGAAAGCCCACAGAACCGACAGGTGCTTTAAGGAATCCACGCCAGGACAGGGCTGTGGCTGGGCCAGGGTGGAGGATGGTGCGGTTTGGGGCAGCCGGCATCTATTTCCCATTCTTTCATTCTTTTCTGATGGTACCTGCTCGTTCCCCGCCTCCAGTCTCAGGCCTTGTACTTCTGGAGGGGATGGCTCTGCCTCCACAACCAGGGCTCTGCCACAGGACACAGGCCTAAGCTGACTCACACGTCACAGAGGTTGCCTCATGACCTGGTTGCCACCAATCAAAAGCGCCTCAGGCTTCCCTCTGAGGCAGCTCCAACCGGCCATCCCACCTAACTGACAAGGCGTGTGGGGCCGGGAACTGGTCTGCAGCGATCCCCAGGGGCTTCTTCCAGGGACAAATGTAATCCCAAGGTCACAATCAAGGAGATACTTAGAAACAATTCCCCTTTGGGGTGTTAAAAGGCTTCCAACAACTGGACTGTTGTTGACAGACCCCTTGAATTCTGTGCTTCAAGGTTTCCTTTTGGCTGAACGCTGAGAAGACACCAACCCCAGTTGTCACCTGTTCGCAAGGTGATTTCCTGCCCCATCCCTGAAACCCCCACTTATGCCCATCTCGGGAACTTTCAGCTGGGACCAGCTCTGGTTCTTGAATCCGAGCTACAGAAGGGCCTGAGGAGACCCTGGAGGCCTTCAGGTCACCCCACAGATGAAGAAACGGGTCACATGGAGGGGCCATGACTTTCCCTGAGCCACACAAAGCCAGGACAAGAGCCTAGGAGCCCCAAGGGCCCATCTCAGGCTCTTTCCACTGTTACCACTTACATCAATTCAGAATGCAGCTGGCTGAAACAAGAGAAGGCCGGAATCAGCTGTCAGGGAGTCTAGGCTGCTCCAGGCCTGGGCGCTGTCACCTGAGCCGAATGCTTCTGTCTTTTGCTCTGCTCTCCTGACCACGCGGTCCTTTTCCTTGCGCTTCTTGTTCCATTTTCCAGCAATCCTGTCCACTTTCTGGGCAGGAAGAGGGAGAAGGGCTCCGGGGCAATGGGCTGTGCCAGCTGTTAGTTCCTCCTAAAAAGCCTCCCTGAAACCCACGCCCTGGAACTTCTTAGGTTTCTTCAGCCAGAACTGAGTTGCCTGGGCACGCATGAGTGAGTATTTTTAGTCGGGCGCATTGCCACCCGAACAAAATCGGGGTCTGCTAGACAGGAAGAAGGGGAGAAGACCAGCAGCAGAGTCTGCCACACAGTCGTCGGATGGGGATCCTGGCTAAGAACGCCCTGCCCGGTAAACCACCAGGCCCTTCTCTTCAACCTCCAACAACCCAAAGACTGAGCACAGTAGAGAGAGAACGTTTGGTTTTTCTGTGGAATTGGAGGTTTCCAGGGACCTCGGAAGCTGGGAAGGAGGAAGGGGGGTTCTGACCACAAACGACCTTCATATGCTAACCTCTGAGTTCTCTCCTCTTCCTGAGGGCCCTGCTCAGACTCGTGAGGTGGGGAGTGCAGGGCCAGAGGGACCGGGGAGCAACACGCTGGGAAAGGGTGAAGTCAGAACGCCATTCCACCTGCAGCCCGCTTGCTCGGAGACCCGGGCAAGGCGCTGAGGCACCTTCCACCTCTCCACGTGGAGCCCCCGGGGCCCATGGACACAGACCTGGCTTTTCTTCCAGGCTGGGCCCAGACTCCTCCATGAGGTCCCCTGGTTAGGGGGAACCACTCGCCCTTCCCACCCCAGCCCTGGAGCCCCTGGGGCAGGCACCTGTTAATGCACTCACGGCGTGTGAGCTCACATTGACCTGAACAGTGTTCTTCAAAGTGAGGTGGAGCGAGCGGCAGCATTGGACCAGCTGGGAACCTGCCAGGCTGGGGTGCAGTGACGCAATCACAGCTCAGAGCTCACTACAACCTCGAACTCCTGGGCCCAACTGATCCTCCGTTGTCAGCCTCCTGAGTAGCTGGGACCACAGGCACACGTCACCACGCCTGGCTAATTAAAAGCTTTTTCTTTTCTTTTTTTTTTTTTTTTTTTGGTAGAGATTGGGTCTGTGTTGCCCAGGCTGGTCTTGAACTACTGGGCTCAAGCAATCCTCGCACCTCAGCCTCCCACAGTTCTGGGATTACAGGTGTGAACCACCATGCCTGGCCAATATATATATATTTAGAGATGGGAGTCTCACTATGTTGCCCAGGCTGACCTCAACTCCTGGACTTAAGCAATCCTCCTGCCTCAACCTCCCAGTAGCTGGGATGACAGGCACACACCATTGCACCCAGCTTCACAGTCTGTGTTTTAATAAGCCCTCAGGTGATCCTGGCACATGCTCAAGGTGACAGCCTTCGATGTATATGACTCCCCGCTGTGAAACCCAGCTTCTGGCCTGTTAGCACCAACTCACAGGCAGCTGAGAAAGTCAGAAACAAAGGGAGTCCACCCGGGTCCTCTCACTTCAGCACAGGCAACAACCCTGTGAAGACTCAGATGCGTTTTAGTCTACGAATTACTGTTAGAGCTAGAAATCGTCAAGGCACCACACCCACTTCTTAGTTTATGGATTTGGGAACTGAGATGGGGAGAGGAGAAAGTATCGGCCCGGGGTGAACACCAAAGTGGAACTAGAATTCAAGTTTCCTGAATCTTAGGTGAGTGAGCTGGTTTTTATTCCACAAAATTGGAATATCTTTTTTTTTTGAGACAGGGTGTAGTCTGGAGGGCAGCGGCACCATCATGGCTCACTGGAACCTCCAAGGCTTTGGCTGCCTTGGGAGGTAGGATCTAGGGAAGGGGCCCTCCAAACCCTGGAAGCTGGCTCACGGCTGTTTGGGGTATGAATTCCAGGATTCAGGGTATCTGGAACATGGTGTGAAAAATGGGCTCTGAGGCCGGGTGTGGTGGCTCATGCCTGTAATCCCTTTGGGAGGCCTTTGGGAGGCCGAGGTGGGCGGATCACCAGGTCAGGAGTTCGAGACCATCCTGGCCAACATGGTGAAACCCATTTCTACTAAAAATACAAAAAGTAGCCATGCGTGGTGGCAGGCACCTGTAGTTCCAGCTACTTGAGAGGCTGAGGCAGGAGAATCACTTGAACCCGGAAGGCGGAGGTTGTAGTGAGCCAAGATTGTACCACTGCACTCCAGCCTGAGCAACCGAGCAAGACTCCGTTTCAAAAAAACAAAGACCCTTGAGTGAACGCATCCCTTTTCCCTGTGATTCCTCCCTCTGTGGGTGGTGGAGTGTGGCCTAGGGGAGGGCTCCGGCAGAGGCCTCTGAAGGTTTGCGTCTCAAAGGGTGGTCCCCGGACCACCAGCGCAGGCACCAACTAGGAGTTGGTTAGAACTGCAGGCTCTCAGCCTCACGCCAGGCCTTCTGAACCAGAATCTACATTTTAACAAGATCCCCAGGCAATTAATGTGCACATCAAAGTCTGAAAAGCACTGCTTGAAAGCACAAAACTGAGGACTAGGGTCCCTCTTGCCTAGGTCTCGGCCTGGTACTGACAGTAGGTATCAGTAAGTATTTGCTGGACCAATGGCCAATAGACCTACCACAGACCTGGTAGCCATGGCGGTGCTGGGGAATGGCTGCCTGACTCACAAGGATTTCATTTCCTTTTTCTGGGGCTTCGGGGGCCATGTGTCAGTGAACAGACCCTGCTTCTGGCCTGTGCTGACTGGTCCAGCGATAGACACCTGAAAGCCTGACGCACACTGGGCCAATCGGATGATCTCTCCCAGGAATTTGAAATTGAAGACAAGAAAACAGGTTCTAGAGTAACAGCAATAGTGACAGTGAGCATCCTTCCTGCACCCGCCGTCTGCCAAGCACTGTGCTGAGTGTTTTACATCTTAGATTCGATCTTCACAACCGCCTCACCACGCCGGTGATCGTACTCTGTGTGTTTTTCAGATGAGGAGCTAGGGTGCCCAAAGGTTAACTTTCCTTTTCCAAAAGTTCAGGGTGGGGAAGTGGTAGCATGAGGCGAGCTGGGGTGACAGTGCAGCTGAGACTGGGCCATGTGATGCAGAGACAAGATGGGTCAACTCTGGCCATCCAGGTCCCCAGGAATTGACTGGCTTTGTGATAATTGAGCCGACTTCATGGAAAATGGCCTGTGTGCAGTGGTGGGCAAGACCTGGCTCTGGGAGATGGCCACAGTGGTGAGGCGGGATGGTGTGGGGGCCAAGTGAAGCCATGAGAGAGGGAAACAGAGAAAACCTCCCCTTCCAGAGGGAGAGCAGAGCACTGACAAAGACCAGCCGGGCCCACCCGCTCTCAGTACATACCAGAGAGCACCCACTGGAGGGTCTCGAGATCAGCTCCCCACGCCTCCCCGTCCAGTGAGTTAGCAGTGAGCTTGCCAGAGAAAAGATGTGGGCAGCTTATTTTGGAGGTGTGGGGCAGGGGGTAGCAGAGAAGTTTGCACCCTCATCTGCACCCACCCCCAGAAGGGCAGACACCCCAGAGACTGATGGGGTGGAGGCAGCTGGAATGGGGCAGGACAGCGAGGCCCTGCAAGGGCCAGAGAACCAGTCCAGGTGGAAGAAGGGCGTTGGGGGCCTCACTGACTAGAGGATGAGAGTGGTCCCTGACTGGCTCTTGGAGAATGGAATCTGCCATTTTGGGTGGAGCAGGTAGGCCTTTGAGCCCCTGACAAAACAAAACAAATCGGCAGCGGGAAGTTTCTACCAGGGTCCAAGCCTCTGCATGTGCAGGCTTGTTTAGCTTTATTTCAGAAACAAACCAACATCTTTCATTAGCACTGACATAGTAGGGCTCCCCTACTGCCACCTGACAATCCAACGTCACTGCACCCACGCAGGCCACACCTTCAATGACCCACAGCACACTAGCCCGGAGTACCACACAGAAACGCACTTCTCACCCCTCAAATCTCCCTTTAAAAAAACCAAGCAATCATCAGGTCGGAGGAGAATCACTGGCTCCCTACAGCAAGAGGGGACAAAGCTTGGTGGCAGAGGCCCAGGTCCTTGTGGCCCCTCCCGGCGGGGTGACGGTGACCAGGACTCCTTGGGATTGCCCGGCTGCAGCCAGGACGATGCCAGGGCCTCCTCTGCCGCTGAGAGATGGAAGGGATCCTTCCCGACGCCCACAGGTGGGGGCGAGCCACCAGGAACCAGGCCTGTCACCAGCATCCCCGAGCCCCCGCAGACCGGAATGCAAATAGCTCCGGGCCCACGCGGCTCCCAGTCTGCTGACGAGGGCTGCCTGCTCCCATTTCTTCTCTTCCTTTTCATTTTTTTTAAGGGCTGGCAGTTCTAGAAACTTTTTTTGGCTTCTCAGACAACTGGCAAAATGGAGTAGAGAGAGGCCCTGGCCAGGCTCTTTCTGCGGCCTCGCGCAGGGGCGGGAACGGGGTGTGAGCGGTCGGGCCCAGTAGGTGCAAGGCCGAGTGAGGAGCCGGAGCTCACCCCCACCCCGTTCGGAACCCGGAGGAACGGCGTGTCCCCACGCCCGGCTCCCTTCAGGCTCGGGGCGGCTCGGGGCAGCTCGGGCGTGGGTGCGGGCGGTGGGCATCCATGGGGGTGCGGGAGGCGAGAGCCTGAGGAGACTCAGGACGGGGATCCGCGGACGGCTGGCCCGGGCTGGAGCTGGCGCGGCCACAGTGGGGGACGAGGCGGGGCACACAGAGTCCCCGGGGCCGGCCTCCCTCCCAGCGCATGGGCGGTCGGAGGAACTGGAGCCCCCACCCTGGACAAGGTCCCTTCCTCGAGGGGTCCCCGGCGGGTTTCTCCCCGTCGCCCTGGTTCGGCCTCCCTCCCTCCCCCGCCAGCAGTGGCCGCTGTCCCACGGGCTGGTCCCGTTGGCGCCGGGGCCGGGCCTCCTTGGAGCGGCTGGCTGCAGCCTCCGGAAGTAGGTGCCTCGGTGGCCACCGCGTCCCCAGGGGGCCTCGCGGACGGGGGCGCAGGGCTGCGCGGAGGAGGCGGGCCGGCCCCTCGGCGGCTCTGCGGGGCGGGCGGCGGGAAGCCCGGGCTCAGCGGTTTCCTGGGCAACCGGCCTCCTCCGGCGCGGCCCGCGCGGCTCCAGGTGGCGGGAGGCGGCGGTTGGCGGGAAGGGCCGCGCGGGCCCGGGGGCGGCGCCTCAGGTAGCAGCGCCAGGTGGCAGCGCCAGGTGGCGCCCGTGGGCGGCGGGGCTCCCGGGGAGGCGCCTGCTCCCGCCCGCGCCGGGCCCGGCCTTCCCGAGCTTCCTTCTGGATTCCAGCGCGAAGCCGCCGCGGAAACTCCCCGGGCGGGAATCGCAGCTCCGGCAGCTCTGGGGCGCGGCGGGTCTCCCAGGGCGCGGGCTCCGGCGGGGCGGCCGGGCCTCAGAGGGCGGGCGGGAGCAGGCGGGCGGCGAGGGCGGGCAGCAGCAGCGGGAGCAGGGGCGCCCCGGGCGCCGGGGCCGCTGGGGACGAACGCAGCAGGTCAGGCCCCGAAGCCCGGGCCGCGGTGGCCGCCTCAGGCCCCGACTCTGGGGTGGGCGTAGGGGGATCTTTCGGGACCGAACTCGCCCCAGCCTCCCTCTTTCTGCTCGACTGCAACGCTCCTTTCCCTGCTGCCTTTACATATTCCTTCCTTCCAAAAACACACCACATGCGTGTTTCTGCCGTGGCCTCAGATCCTCCCCGCGCCGCGTTTTGAGCGTTTACTCTCACTACCCAGCTTCGTCTGGGACACCCGCCGGGCTCCTGCCCTGTCTGAACGGCACCGGGGAGGCGGCGGGGCGGGCCTGTCCTACCTGCGCCCGAGCACTGCTGAGACAGCATCCCTTCCAGCGCCGCCACGTAGTCCAGCCCCAGCCAGTCGCGGTAGGTGGTTTTCTCCCCGACAGGCACCGCCCGGACGGTGGCATCCTTGAAAAGCAGGTCTTGGCCATGATAGTTGGAGGAGTCGAACATTTTGAACCCATTCTTATTGTGGTCGTCTCCAAACAGGTCCTGGAAGCACCACAAGCAGACCTGCTTCTCACCTGGGCTCAGGCAGGGCCACCCGCCCAGGTGCGGCTTGCTGCAGATTGCTTTGGGCTTCTCACCTGGGCTCAGGCAGGGCCACCCGCCCAGGTGCAGCTTGCTGCAAATTGCTTTACGTAACAGTGACCCAAAGAACAAGTAATTTCAGGGCCCCACGACTCTGACTGGAAGTCATAAGCGTAACAACTGATCGGCCTCTGTCACCCAAGGGGGTGTGGGGACACTAGGCCCACAGGCGCCACTGGAAGAGGTAGGTGTTCACAAGCACTGCAGTGCTCCAGCTCCTGGATGCAGGCCTAAGGCCTGAGATGTTCAGAAAGAAAGACCCAGAAATGAGGGATGGTGTGGGTGCGATTCCTGAGCATTGTGCTAGGCCTGCTCAGCATTTCTTGGCCTTTTCCATAAGGCTTTCTCACTCTGTCTTACAGCTGTCTCCCCACAAACCGAAACAATTTCGAGAGAGACGTGTGTTCTGCAACCAGCCACAGAATAACAGGTGAGCTGGGCGTGTCTTCACTGACCCACCCGCCCAGGGATGCTGCACTCCTCCACCCTGCTCAGGATCACTGCAATGACCGTTCTGTGGCTACAGCCCTAAAAGAGCTACTAAAAAGATCAGAAGTCGTATGAGAACTTATGAATACAAATATAAATAAAGGACATCTGGAGAACATGCATGAATGTCTATGTCAGGTGTTAAGTACTGATCAAGGAGGAACAAAGGAGTCAGGTGGCTCTCAGTCTTTTTGGAGGGACCCGCAGATCCTCCTGAAGAGCTGATGAAAGCTGTCAGCCTTCTCCCCAGAAAAATGCACATCCACCCAAGATTCTTCTCCCACATTACTTCAGAGAACTTAGCAATACCCTAGGGAAGCCCAAGGACCCGGAGTATGGCACTCCTGGGATAGAGGGGTTCTGTGGGGGAGATGACAGGAACATGCATAATTTCACAATGTCAAAGTTTAGGAACAGGCCTGGCGAGCCAGCCAGCTCTGGAGTTCTGTGGTGCTGCTGGGTGTGCAGAAGGCAATTTCAGCATAAGTTGGGGGAGGGGGAGTGGTTAGAAACCAGTGGCTCCATTGTCAGACAACCTGGGTTTAAATTCTAGGTGTATTTTGAAAGCACAACCAGTGGGATTTGCTGAGGGACTGGATGCAGAGCACAAGAGGAATACCAGAGTAAAAAATGACTCCCAAGGAAATGGAAAAGCTAAAGTTGCTCTTAATTGAAGTGGGGAAGATTGAAGGAGGGATGGGGGTCCAACTTTGGACTTGATCCGTTTGAGATGACTGTTAGAAACACAAATCAAAATGTCAAGTATGTAGTTAAATATGCAAGTTTGGGACTGAAGTCTGAAGATGTAAATTCAGAAGCCATCTGTAGATAGATGGCATTTGATGACTTGGGATTGGATGAGATCAAGGGTCAGCTGTAGACGGGGAAGAGGGCTGAGAACTGGATCCTAGGGCTAACAGGTCAGGGAGATGAGAAGGAATCAGCAAAGAAGACTGAGGAGTGGCCAGAGAGGTGAGCGGAGCGCCAGGGCTGAGGAACTGGGTGCCTGCAGGAGGGAGAGCCGTGGCCAGTGCCGCTGAGAGGCCAAGTGAAATGAAGACTGAGAAATGGCCACTGGGTTTAGCAACATGGGTCACTGTGACATTGACAAGAACAGCTTCAGGGCCCTGGTGGGAGCCTGTCTGGGTAATCTCCATCCTCAAGAGAGAGGAGAGGAGAGGACTTGTTAACTCAGTCTTCATCCTTAAGAGAGGCCAGAGGAGAGGACTGTTAACTCCAGAGCAGACCACTCTCTGGAAGTGTTTTGCTTTGAAAGGGAGCAGGACTGGCCGGGCGCGGTGGCTTACGCCTGTAATCCCAGCACTTTGGGAGGCTGAGGCAGGAGGATCACGAGGTCAGGAGATCAAGACCAGCCTGGCTAACACGGTGAAACCCCGTCTCTACTAAAAAAAAAAAAATACAAAAAAAAAAAAAAATTAGCCGGGCGTAGCGGCAGGTGCCTGTAGTCCCAGCTACTCGGGAGGCTGGGGCAGGAGAATGGGGTGAATGCGGAAGGCGGAGCGTGCAGTGAGCCGAGATCTCGCCGCTGCACTGCAGCCTGGGCGAAAAAAAAAAAGGAAGCAGGATTACAGCTGCAAGAGGATGGATGTGAGAGCAAGAGGTTAGTTAGTTCTTTAAGGATGGCAGAAATCACAGCATGTTTCATGTTGGTGAAAATGGTCCAACTGAGAAGGGAAAATCAACAATGCAGGAGGCAGGGGGGTAGTTTCTGGAGGTATGTCCTTGCGTAAGTGAAAATCACCGAATTTCCCCCAGGCTTCCTCAATTTCTCTAGAGGTCTGCTCCAGGTAGACTGAGGCGTCCCAGGGGCTCAGCTTACCTCTGCTGCACACCCCTCAATGAGGTAGCCCCGCCTGGCTCACCTGGGCCTTGTCCAGCAGTCCATACACGGTGAAGATGTTGGTGTCTGGTCTGACCATGACGGCATGGGGTGGCATCTGTGCCAGGTTGCAGGCTGCAAACTGGGACACCTCGGCCCGGGCCCCGTTGGGGCACAGCAGTTCATAGTCCTCTGACCTGAGCTCAGCAGCCCAGGGCTCGGAATTGTGGCCTGAGAGGGGTAAAGCAGTGTGTGTGGGGACGTTCAGGGGAGTGGGGAGAAGTGTAAAGACAGGCTGCTATCCTGGGTCCTCCAAGGCCTTCGCTACAGGGAGGTGGCAACATCTGGCCAGCTCCCCAACCCTTTCCATTCTCCAAGTGCTCTGCTGTGTTACCGGGGTGAAAGAACCCAGCTGTGTTAATGCCATTAGCAGGAGCTGCCATTAGCAGGGAGTAGGGAGTACCTACTATGTGACAAGCACTTTACAAGCGTTGCTTGATCCCCACAACAGTAAGGCGCAGGGCAGGTGGTGTTGTCCCCATTTTACAGGTGAGCAAACTGAGGCTGTTAATCACTCCTAGGCAGAGAACCCCATCTATGTGTTACATCCTCAAGTCTGAGGGTGGGGTGGCTCCCTGAAGATGGTGGGTGATTGCCCCTAAAGGCTGAAGTTCTCAAATAGAACAGGGCATAGCATCACTTGTGGATGTAAAAGGCAGCTTCAAGGGCCTTTGCTTGCAAAGAATCTCATTCAGGAGGTCTCAGATCGGGCTCGGGAATCTGCATGTTAAACCAGCAACCCAGTGATTCTAAAGCACGCAGTCCCAGGGCTGCCTGAGAAAATGCTGCTCTCAGGAATCACATTCTCGTGTCTCTGCCTTCACTTAGTATCCATCCTCCTCCCATTTCCAGGAAATCCAGGTGGGCCTCCAGGAGAGCTAAAGACAAAGGGAAAGGAGCGGCCCTGGGAGGCGGGTGACTCACTGCAAGTGAACCTTCCAAGGCCTCTCCAGCACCTGCCAGCCGCCCCGACCCCATCCCAGACCACACCGTGCACAGGTCTGGGACCAGGCAGGCCCGCCGGGCTCAGGCAGGAGCACACAGCCCCTCTCTGGGGGAGGGTTCCACGTGTTCTTGCTAGGAGGCTGTGCAGGGGAAGGGTTCAGGGCCTGGAGCCCTCCCTAGCTCTGCTGGGGCAAATGGTCCTACCGCCTTGGTGACCCCCATAGGAAGCAAGATCCAAGTTTTGAAATACTGATGTTTTTGGGGTTTTTTTCCCTGCATGTCTTACTTCCCATTGTCCAGTCCCCTCCCCACCGGGCCACAGTTGTGCCTTTCTGGGCTAAGTCTCTAGGAAGAAACATGTTGGGAGTGAGTGGAGAAGACTGGGCCTCCAGCATTTGGGGTTTCAAAGCCTGGGGTGTAGTCAGGGAATGTAGAAAGTACAAGCCTTTGGTGTTGGAGGAAAACAGCCTCTAGGCTTCAGATTCCTTCACGGAGAACAAGAAGAGGGGAAGTGATGTCAGCTGGGGAGGCGTGTGCTGATAGGACCATGCGTGTGCGGGGGTCCCGGAGCGCAGCGTCCCTGAGTTCTCTCCCCCAGGTGGAGCCCAGGAAGGTGACCCCAGGAAGAAAACTGCCCGTGTGGTGTGTCGGGTGTGCCCTGCCTCGGTGCGGCTTGGGGGTTGCAGAGAGATTTCCTTGCAGGAGGCAGTGACCTGCTCAGGAACACAGACCAGATACTGATTGAACTCATGACCCCATGGAGAGGCTCACGTCACCCCACCTCACACCTTGGCACTACATAAATACCCCTAGAAGGGGGGTCTTTCCAAACCGACTGGGACTGAGTTTCTACCGTTTCGGTGGATTAGTGACTTGAATTCCAGACCAGCGAAGACTGTCATGTATCCAGCACCCCTGGATGTGTGGTCTGAGGTCTGGTCTTACCCTGTGACCTGTGGGGCTCCCAGCTTCCCAGGGGGCACAGCCTTCTAGACTCAGCCTCACTGAGCTGCTGCTCGGCCCCAGCCCAGCATGGTGTCTGGATGGTGCTGAGAATGGGGAACAGTCCCCCCGACCTACCTTTGGCCCTGCTCTGGCCCTCACCTACCATTTGTGTTGTCAAAGACGGTCGTGTGCTTGACGAAGGCAACGTCGCCCGCATTCTCCACCAGGCATCTGCCACACAGAGGGCAGGGCAGCCGTCGGCAGGAGGGTCCCAGCCTCTGCACACAGCCTCAGACCGCCAGGCCCCCCGAGTACCTGAAGGCGCCGCTGTTGCCGTAGTACCGCTCCTGGCTGTTGCCCACACACTTGTTGCGGCCCTGCTCGTCCCCAACACACAGCGCACACAGCGAGGAAGGGTAGTTCTTGGGGTTGTTCACGGGCACACAGCTGGCATTGAAGAACTCGCTCACCGCTGGGGTGGAGCGAAGGGCAATGATGAGGGGCCAGCAGCGGAAAGCATGGCAGGGAGCTGGGCGGGCCGCTCCCCCACAGGTCTGCCCACCCACCTGACCCTACGCTGCAAGGCCGCCTGTCTGCTCTGCTCCCCTCGGCTCTGAACGGAGTGTCTCCTGGAGGATCTCAGTGGGGGGAATGCAGAGGTTGTCTAGATACAGGAACCCCATCACCGAACACCACCACCCAGCCTTCGCGTGAACTCCCTCAGGGACAGGGAACTCACTACCTCACTATTTTGTTCCAATCAGAGCAGCCGTCCAGCTGTCTGGGAGTAGGAGCTGCCAATCCTAGTGCCCTCCGTGTGCTTGTGTCAGTGGTTAGTAAAAAAGTGCCTGTATGTTTTCTGAGTTAACAGCCAGGACAGAGGTGTCTGGCCTGTCAGCTCAAGGATCTTGCCAGTTTCCATGAATGTTGTGTGATCTAACACACGGAAAGGGCTTCATGTACCGTATATGGCAGGTGCTTCTGTCCCCAACTTGTGGAGATACCTGGGCACTTATGCAGAAGCCTGGCCACCTTCCAACAAGGGTCCCCTCCAGAGCTGGCTGTGGGACTAACCTCAGAGAAGCTAACCCCAGAGAAGGCTTCCCTTGTCTGCCTTCCTAAAAGGGGGGTACCTGTGAGGACGTCGCAGTCCTTGGGCCGGATGAAGCCTCTCCGAATGAGGGCGCCCACGGGGATATCCCAGCCTGCAGGGCTGCCGAAGCCAGCGTGGCAGGAGCGCTTGCCCCGAAGCTCATCCAAGGTGAAGGCGTGGGAGCTGTCCCGCCTCACCACCGCCACCACGAAGTACGAGTTGCTGCTGTCTTCCGCTGGGGAGAGAGGGACTCATGCGAGGGGCCCCTCAGCTGAGAGCCCGGGCAAGGGCCTGTGGGGTCCTTCCTTCAAACCCACTCCTTCCTGCCTCTTTGTCTGAGCTGTGCAGGCCAAACAGTGCCCAGGCCTGAGACCGGGTGTTCCGGGAGCAGGCCCAGCAGGGGCCCTGCCTGCGTCCCCTGTGAGATGCAGCCTCCTGGCTCCACTTTCCAGCCCTGCCTTCCTCTGGCCCCAGCAGTCCTTCCCCACAGGGATTTCCTTCTTTCCTTAAACCCAGGTGGTATTTTTCTCACTTCCCGGGAGGAAAGTGGGGTCACAGCTGAGGCTGCAGAAGCATTTCCCACAGCCCAGAGATTGCTCACACCCGGGTGGAAGGGACCCAGGCCTCTGAGGCCACCAGTAAGAGGACAGAGGCCAAAGCCCCAGCCCAGGCCCCTCAGAAGGTGCAAATGAGCTGGCAGGGGGACTCCGAAGGGCCACCTTCCATGGCTGGTTAGGGCCAGAAGAGGCTGAGGAGGCCCCAGTAGTTCAAGACGGCAAACCACGCGCCTGCTCTTGTATGGCCTGGGTTGTAAACTGAGAATGATTTTTATATTTTGAAAGGGTTATTGAAAGACAGACTGTCATCTGCAAAGTCTCAAGTATTTATCCTCCAATCCTTTACAGAAAGTTTGCCAGCCCCTTAGAGACGTATGTGGAATAGTTGGGAAAACTGAGGCCTGGGGCAGGAGGGGCAGGCCTGGTGATAGACAGTCACTATCCTCAGGAGAGAGGCAGGGAGCTTGTGGAAATAGCTGAGAGGGGCACTCTTTTATATTTATAAAACTTTCCCCACCTCCTGGCTGCGGCCAGGCGGCAGACCCTGCACTCACAGGCATAGCGCTCGCCAGCTGCCGGAGCCAGGCCGTACGTCTTCCCCGCCGTGTAAATGTCCTCGCCGCTCAGGGTCACAGTGTCAATTTGCCCAGCCTGAAGGGAACAGAAGCAGCAACTGGGCCAGGGTGGACCCAGGATGGTTCTGGATGTCGGGGTCCTACGGAGGTGGCAGGGCCTGGTCTCTAGGGGTTTGTGGCCTCAGGCTTCCTTCCCCTGGGGAATCTGGGTGGCGAATACCCCCTCCTGGCAGCCTGCCCCTTCCTCTCCTTGTGAAGACGCCTGACCGGGAGGGGTGTCTGGAGGACCAAGGGGCTGGAACACCCACGCAGCACTCCTGCGTATGGCTACCCAGGGTCCCCTGTGTCCCTGCTCTGAGCAAAGCAAGCGCGATCCCTACCCTCATGCTTGGCGTGGGCCTCCCTGTGCACTGCTAGCCCCCAGACGGCCAGGCACCACCTCTCCAGCACCTGGCCAAGGGCCAACACACCGTGTGGTGCAATGCCTGTCTGTTAAATGCCTGTACAGATGGAAGAACGACGGATCTGAAACTATGGCAGTCTCAGGGCCTAGGGAGGAGGCTCCAGGGCTGAGGGATGGAGCTCTGCCTGCCGTGGCAGCAGGAGGACCCAGCGCCTTCTTCCCAGGACCCTCCTGGGGCCTCCAGGTCACCTGTACCCACCTCACTTGTCCATTCAGAAGCCTCTTGACAGGTGGCCCCAGGACCCCGCCAAGGGGCTAACAAAGCCATAGTAGAGTGTGATTAACATCAAGGGAAGGGGATGACAGTGGGGGACAATGGGGACACCTGTGCCCCAGGAAGGTGTCCCACACCATTCCTGAAGAGGCGTGAAGTGATGGTGGTGGAATAACAGGCAGCGGCGTTGACATTTGGGGCCAGGAGGATGCACCTCTCGGGATCCTTTTTCCACCGCCCAGACCTCCTTCTTCCCATTGCGCTGTGGGCAGGACACAGACCCTGCACCTCAGCCCAGGCCCTCTGGCTGATAGTCCTTTGCCTGTAACTGGCAGGGCAGGAATGGGTGTCACAGCCACACTGGACATCTCTCTGAGAACCTCAGAAGCTAGAACTGAGGGTCTTTGAGACCTTTGCTGGGGTTCTGAGGAGCCCCTGGTCTCTCCTCTTCCCGCAGGCCGCAGGCCAGCCCCCTGGCCCTCTGTGAGCCCAGATTGAGAGGAGGCTGGCACTCAGAGGGAGCTGAAACCTTCCTCCCAGCACCTCTCCCTCCTCTGGGGCGCTTGGAACAATAGGGCAGCCTGCCAGGCATTGGGAAATAAATAAATAAGGACCCTCCCCCCAAGCCCTTCCCTCCGTTCCAGGTTCCAGCGGAGGCTCCCCTGTCAGCGTCACACACACTTGCTCTCACACACTTGCTCTCGGCTCTGCACAAGGACAGGCTTCCATCGGTGCCTGCGGAAGCTCCGGGAACACCCCCGCCTTGGGCCTGGGCACTCCTTGGCCTGAGGCTGGGGTGGTTTCCACTCTCGCGATCCACAGGTGTGGAGACAGCGCTGTGGCCTGGCTCAGGCAAAGTGGTGTGGGGAAGCTCACACAGCCCATCCTGGCTGGTGACCTTGGGCAAGTTACTTCCCCAGCCTTTCTCTCCCCGCTCAGACCCAAAAGTGGGGCCGATGGTCACACCAACTGCCAGGGCTGCTGTGAGGGTCACATGAGATGATCCACACAACGGCCCTCACTGTGTGGGGCGCACAGCGAGTGTCAGCTTGTGCGATGGTCACTGTCCTAGGCCTGGTCACCCTGTATTCCTGCCCGGTCTCTTTTTTGTGGCCTTCCAGTCAATGTGGTTCCCTGGCCTGGGCAGGGTTGGCACTGCTGAGGGGCCTGTGCTTGGGGACCCCCTGAACAGACCCCACCTACTTGCTCTAAAAACAGAATCTGGGGAGTGTGGACACCCAGGGGCTGACAGCCGGGGCTCCGGGCCAAGGCTGGACACCCGTGACCACAGCAGTCCTCCCGGACTGCAGAGCCTCTGGGGCCTCCTCTGCATCTGGCATCAGTCTCCAGGCAGAGAAGCGAACCAGGGAGGAGCCGAACGGGCACGAGAGACCGGGCCAGCTGGTGTTTCTAGCTGCGGATGGTGAGCCTGTTCGTGGGGGCCAAATCCATTTAATGGGTCATGACAAGTGTCAGGAAAAAAAGGATTAGAATAGAATACATGAGAAGTAGCGGGTACTGTTTGTGTCATATCTCTGTATATAAAGGACATATATTTTTTTCATTTATATCTGAAAGAAAACTTTTTGTGCACTAGATTGTGGTCAATGTAAAATGTATTTCCAAGTGCATGGTGCTGTCAAAAATGTTGAACTTCCGGCCGGGCGCGGTGGCTCAAGGCTGTAATCCCAGCACTTTGGGAGGCCAAGACGGGTGGATCACGAGGTCAGAAGATCGAGACCATCCTGGCTAACATGGTGAAACCCCGTCTCTACTAAAAAATACAAAAAAAAAAAAAAAAACTAGCCGGGCGAGGTGGCAGGCGCCTGTAGTCCCAGCTACTCAGGAGGCTGAGGCAGGAGAATGGCGTGAACCTGGGAGGTGGAGCTTGCAGTGAGCTGAGATCCGGCCACTGCACTCCAGCCTGGGCGACAGAGTGAGACTCCGTCTCAAAAAAAAAAAAAAAAAGTTGAACTTCCCTATGAAAATACCAACGACATTCTCTACCAAATTAGAAAAAACAATCCTAAACTTTGTATGGAACCACAAGTGACCCTGAATAGCCAAAGCAATCCTAAGCAAAAAGAACAAAGACAGAGGCATAGAAACTGACATAGAGACCAATGATACAGAATAGAGAACCCAGAAATTAACCCACAGGTCTACAGCCCGATGATTTTTGACAAAGGTTCCAAGAACACTCATTGGGAAAAGAGTGGTCTCTTCCTCAATGGCTGCTGCTAGGAAGGTGGAATGTCCAAGTGCAGAATGAACTGGGCCCTAAACTACCCCTCACCCTACGCAGGGGTCAACGCATCACGGATCAGGGGCCTAAATGCAGGGCTCAAGACAATAAAAGGGCTAAAGAGAATACAGGCAAAACGCTTCGGGACATTGGTCTGGGAAAAGATTTTATGAAAAGACCTCGAAAGCACAGTCAACAAAAGCAAAATAAGCAAATGGAATTATACCAAACAAAAAAGTTTCTGCACAGCAAATAAAACCATCGTCAGAGGGAAATGAAGACAGCCTACGGAGTGAGACAAAATATTTGCAAACTACTCATCCGACAGGAGATTGATATCCAGAACATACACGCAGCGGAAACATCTCAACAGCAGAAAATCATCCGACTTAAAAATGGGCAAATGACCAGAACAGACGTTTCTCAAAAGAAGACATACAAAATACCAGCAGGCAGCACTAATCATCAGGGAAATGCATGCCAAAGCCACAGTGAGGTATCAGCTCACCCCAGTTAGGGTGGCTGTTATCAAAAAGATAAAAGATAACAAATGCTAGTGAGGATGCAGAATAAAGGAAACTCTTACACTGTTGGTAGGGATGGAAACCCAGAGAGTCGCTATGGAAAACAGTATGGAAGTCCCTCCACAAATGACAAATCGAACTATTTACTACCGTACGGTCCAGCAATCCCACCACTGGGAATCCGTCCAAAGGAAAAAGGAAATCAGCCTGTGGAAGGGATGCCTGCACCTCATGTTTATCATAGCACTGGTCACAATAGCCAGGATATGGAATCAACCAGGTGTCCAACAACAGAGGATGGATAGAGAAAATGTCATCGGCATGCACCGTGGAATACTATTTAGCCATAAAAAAGAATGAAATCCTGTCACTGGCAGCAACACAGATGGAACTGGAGGACACTGTGTTATGTGAAATAAGCCAGGCACAGAAAGTTAAACACCATATGTTCCACTCATATGTGGAAGCTAAAAAAAGTTGATCTCACAGAAGTAAAAAGTAGAACAGAGGATACCGGAGACTGGGAAGGGTGGGGGAAAGGAGGAATAGGGAGAGATCTTTTTTTGTTTTTTGAGACAGAGTCTCATTCTTGTCACCTAGGCTAGAGTGCAATGGCATGATCTCGGCTCATTGCAACTCCGCCTCCCGGGTCCAAGCGATTCTCCTGCCTCAGCCTCCTGAGTAGCTGGGATTACAGCTGCGTGCCACCATGCCAGGCTAATTTTTTTGTACTTTTAGTGGAAACGAGGTTTCACCATGTTGGCCAGGATGGTCTTGAACTCCTGATCTCAAGTGATCCACCCGCCTCAGCCTCCCAAAGTACTGGGATTACAGGTGTGAGCCAACACGCCCAGGAGAGATTTGTTAAAGGATACAAAATAAGAGAGAGGAGGAATAAGCTCCAGTGTTCTATAGACTGTAGGATAACTAGAGTTAACAATAATACATAGTTTCAAACAGGTAGGAAGATACCGCATGTTCTCCACACAGAGAAATGAGCAATGTTTGAGATGACAGTATGCTAATTATTATTCTGCTCCGATCATCATGTATTCTATGTATCGGAACATCACCATGTATCTTATGAATATGCACAATTACTATTTGTCTATTTAGAAAAATTAGGAAAAAAGAAAAAAAAGGTTGAACAATGATTCACGCCCACTCTCTATTGCACAAGGGAAGGCTGAGATTCAGAGAGGGGAAGGGGCTCGCCCCAGGCTACAGGGCGTCAGCGCCCAGCTGGGCCAGTGCTCCTTTGGCTGCTGGTGCCCCCGCTCAGTGAGGAGCTCGCAGGCTCTCCAGGGGACTCACTCCTATCTGCCTATCCCCTGGGGTGGGTGCTGGTCCCTGCGGTCCCTCCTCCCCGCCTGTCTCTGTCCCCTGGGGTGGGTGCTGGTCCCTGCAGTTGCTCCGCCCCCCCGTCTCTGTCCCCTGGGGTGGGTGCTGGTCCCTGTGGTCGCTCCTCCCGCCTGTCTCTGTCCCCTGGGGTGGGTGCTGGTCCCTGCGGTCCCTCCTCCCCACCTGTCTCTGTCCCCTGGGGTGGGTGCTGGTTCCTGCAGTTGCTCCGCCGCCCCCCGTCTTTGTCCCCTGGGGTGGGTGCTGGTCCCTGTGGTCGCTCCTCCCGCCTGTCTCTGTGGCCTTGTTGCAGTAGACACTCTTCTCTTCCCAGGCAGCAGGGGGAGTGGGTAGTAAGAACCGCCCAGGCACTGCCACCACCTGCCCACCTGGCCCACGCGGCACCTGCGCGACCCCCACCTGGATCTGCTCCATGCAGTGCTGGGGGGACTTGGCTGACACGCACTGGATCTCTGGCTTGAGCCGCTGCCGGCCGAAGGCCACGGCCATGTCTCCGCACTTCTGGATCTCAGGAGTGGAGAGCACACACCAGCGCAGGTAGGGGGGCAGCCCTGGGGTGGGGCAAGCAAGCGGTCACTGCCAGGCCGGTACTGCCATGGAAGAGCTTGGAGTCAGACCCAAGGGAAATTCTGGGCCTTTCTCCGGTGTGGCTGGGATAAGTTATTTAACCATCAGATCCCACTTCCTCATACAGAAAAGGGGCCACTGTGAGGTTTGAGGAAGACCACGGCTGTCGTGTATCTAACTCAGTGTGTGGTACCCACTTCCCTGGCTGTAGGTGGAAGATATATGGGGCTGGAGGGCTAAAGGCAAGAAGTTCGCTTGTAGACTACTGCAACAGTCCAGGCAAAAGACAGTGCCTGAGCCAGGGCTGTAGCCATGGGGTAGAGGCGGGGGGTAGGAGCGAGAGGCTGTAGAAGAACTGACAGGACGCCGTGGCCATGGATGGAGGGGCGAGGAGACCCTTCCCAAGGCAGATTCTGAGGGCCTGGATCCTACTCCGCTGTGGCCAGGTGGGGCTTCCGAGGCACGACAGGCGGTGCAGCTGAAGAGGGGCTTCCTCCCCAAAGCCCCAGAGGCAGAGGACAGAAATGACAGGTTCCTACAGAGGCCTCCCTGGTGAGCATCTTCCCCCAGCCGCTTTCCCCGAGAGCCTTGCCATGCCCGAGGTCGAGCTGGGCTGGAGCTGGCAGCAGTCGGGACGGGTGGACTTACGGTTGGGGTCACAGAGCAGACCCTTCATGGCGTGCAGGTACTCCTGGCCCAGCCACGCCTCGTAGGTCTGCGTGGCGATGGGCACAAGTTCCAAGGTGGAGTCTTTGAAGAGCAGATCCTTCTGGCCATAGGCCTCAGAGCTGAACATCTGGAAGCTGCTGCCCTCGTGGCTGAACAGACGCTGTGTGTCAAGAGGGGGTGGGTACAGGGTGGTGAGGGTGCTGATGGGCCACATCCTTTCCTCCCACTTCCGCCCCTACCTGCTTCTTCCCTGACCTCAGACCAGGCGCCCACTGTGAGGGCCAGGCGAGGCCTCCCTCTTCTGCGCTGCCTCCCCTGATCCGCTATCTCCTTCCCCTGGGCCCTGCCAGTTCTGGGTCTGCTCTGAGTCCATTTGGCCTCATCACACTCAGCTGTTTGGACACATGACTGTGGCCAGGGGTGGGACGGCCCTGAGGACACACCGTGGGGCTGGCAGTGGCAGCCTGGATGGGACAAAACTAACTGAGCCTGGGGCGCCAGCGGTCAGAAGTATATCGCTGTCAAAAGCAGCGGTTTGGGCCAAACCTTATTCGCCACATGTAATTCATGGTGAATGGTGAATGCTTTGAAAGGCTCTGGTTTTGTCACTTCGTTTATTTGCTCATATGTTTTGATTTTAGCTCTCAGAGACACAAGTATCAGGAGCTTCTTCTGAGGGTGCCTGGGTCCCTGGGTCCCCCTCCCCTGGCCAGCCCTCCTCCTGGACAGCCAGCACAGCCGGCTGGTTCCTCACTCTGACCTGGCCCGATGCTGGGGTCCATCCCAAGGACAGTCTCTGGGTCCTGCCCCTCTTGATCCCACCCTGCTGAGCGACCACAAGGCCCAGCACCATCCAGGACACTGTGCAGGGGGGTTGGGGGACTCTGAGCCCACCTGGCCTTCGTTGAGCAGCCGGAAGATGAGGCCCCCATCTGTGTCGGCCCGGACCACCACGGCGTGAGCAGGCACCCGGGCCAGATGGCACTGCCTCCACTCGGTGACGTCAGCCCGGCTGCCATCCCGGCACAGCAGCTCAAAGTCCTGTGACAGCAGGGCCTGGCCCCAGGAGGGAAGCGTCTTCCCTGGGAAGAAGGAAGCCTGGGCTGACCCAGCTACGACAGGGGTTGGGGCGGGTGGCAAGGAAGGCCCAGAAGAGGGATTCTGGGGGGTGGCTGGGTGTCATGGACGTGAGAACCCAGCATTCAGAAGGTGGCAGAGCTTGGTGGCTGCACCCAACTCCAAGTACCTACACAGACTCTATCTCGTTACTCTCATTTTCTAGCTCTCACCAACTTCTGTTGCTAAAGTGGATTGGAGGCATCTGACAGTAATACAATACTTATAAATAACTATTTAAGATAAAAAGAGCAAGAAAATGGCCGGGCGCGGCGGCTCAAGCCTGTAATCCCAGCACTGTGGGAGGCCGAGACGGGCGGATCACGAGGTCAGGAGATCGAGACCATCCTGGCTAACACGGTGAAACCCCCTCTCTACTAAAAACTACAAAAAAACTAGCCGGGCGAGGTGGCGGCGCCTGTGGTCCCAGCTACTCGGGAGGCTGAGGCAGGAGAATGGCGTGAACCCGGGAGGCGGAGCTTGCAGTGAGCTGAGATCCAGCCTGGGCGACAGAGCAAGACTCTGAAAAAAAAAAAAAAAAAAAAAAAAAGAGCAAGAAAATAAGAACAGTTTTGGGTGAGAGAGATAAATGTACTAAGAGTCTAGGATGAGCTTGCGGCTGCCATGAGGCACTACGTTTGGCTCTGAGCAGGGGGAGGGGTCAGGGCTCCAGGAGCAGGGACCAAGATGGGAACAAACCCGGATGGAATCTGCCCACACGGGCTAGAGAAGGAAGGGGAACTCCGCAACTCCAGCTATTCACGGTGGGATGGGTTTCTTTCAAGTCCTTTTTCCTGTTTTACTCCCTGTCTTTTGATCCCCCCACCTTTTTTTTTTTTGAGACAGAGTCTCTCTCGCACAGGCTGGAGCGAGTGGCGTGATCTCGGCTCACTGCAAGCTCTGCCTGCCGGGTTCAAGTGATTCTTCTGCCTCAGCCTCCCGAGTAGCTGGGACCACAGGCGCCCCCACCACGCTCGGCTAATTTTTGTATTTTTAGTAGAGACGGGGTTTCACCATGTTGGCCAGGCTGGTCTCAAACTCCTGACCTCGTGATCCGCCAGCCTCGGCCTCCCAAAGTGCTGGGATTACAGGTGTGAGCCACCGTGCCCAGCCCCCTTTTGACCACTTTTAACCTGGCTAAGGACATAGTTGACAGGCAATTTTGCATCCTACTTGGCAAAGTATTTTTCCACAGTATTGGAAACTTTCCATAAATTCATTTGTTTCTCAATAGAAAAGAAAATTTGCAAGAGTAACTATTAACACCAACTAGGGATACTGAGAAGATGAATATTAAAGACTATAATTAAACCACAGATGGTCCCACAGAACAATATTTTTATGACTTTAAGACAAGGAGGGAAAAAATCTCTACAAGGAAATAGGAAGAGAAAAGATAATTTGTATGGTCACGAAAGTTTTCATTGCAAAGCTATTTTAAAACAAAACCAAAAAACCCACACCAGAGTAACAGTTTGGAAAACTCCGTAAAGGTCATTTTTAATGGCCACATGGTACTTGACAGCACTCTTAATGACTCAGTGCAGTTCTCCCCCCTCCACTTCCCAACTTTTCTCTGCTTTTAGGCTGCTGCAAAGCCTTTGGTTAGAGCTCTGGGGCATCCTTTGCCTTCCCACAGATAAATGCATCATTCAGGTACTTCCATCAGCCACTTCCACTTCTCAAAGCCAAGAACAATGAAAGTCCTGTCACTTCCCTGCTTTAGACATTTATGCCACTTCTACCCTTTTGCCAATCTTTTTGTATCAAGTCACTTAAAAAAATTACTGCCTTAGATTGCCTTAGATTACCGTCAAAACTTTGAAAAAGCTGCCAGGTGCATGCCTGTAATCCCAGCTACTCAGGAGGCTGGGATGCGAGGATCAATTGAGGCTGGGGGTTTGAGACCAGCCTGAGCAACATGGTGAGACCCCATCTCAAAAAAAAAAAAAAAAAAAAAAAAAAAAAACCGGAGTCTGAGGCAGAGAATTGCTTGAACCTGGGAGCTGATGATTGCAGTGAGTTGAGATAGCGCCACTGCATTCCAGCCTGGAAGACAGAGGGAG